TGGCATAAAGGGGCGTACCGCCAGATCTCTGTACGGAGCACACTTTTTCGACGCACTTCACAAAAATATGACGGACTCGCAGGGACATTATGTTTGTTCATTTGGGCAATATGGAGCTGTGAACGAGTACATGATTTGGCGTATGTGGGTAAAATAATGCCCTTCGACATGATAAGGGACCCACATAAATGAGTCGCTAAAATTTGATCCAGCGTTTTGTGCACCTTCCCCATAATATCCACTTTGCCCAAAATGCGCTTCTTAGATGAGTGGTGTCAAAAGACTCATCTCTGCCTGAGATGTATGTGTTGTAACGTTTTGTCAACCACGTATTGATTCCAATATGACTACTGACTGTTTGTCTCTGTCCCTCTGAGCTTTATGGGGAGACAAACAGATGAATTCCAAGCCATGGTGCAAGTATGGGGAGACCAAGTGGGATCCTTACTGACGTCCAAGTGCAATAGGTTCCTTGAGAATGGGGAGTATCTGCAGATAGCCTCAAGACATGTTCCACACACACCTTCGCGAGTGACCAACCCAAGGTGGATGTGTATTGTCCATCCCAAGAAGTACCTCTGCGCACACCACGTCCGTCCTAGATCCTAACACCTTTTCTCTCTTGGACAACGATGGCAATCCAATGCATTTGCTTTGGAGCCAGCCGTCTACTTTGGAGGGTTTGAGATCACAAGTGTGATGTCCCTTCCTTTGTTCCAAGTAGTACCCAGCAATGGACACCTTGATGTTCAAGAGGGCTGCTGACTTTGTATTAGGTCACAGCCAAGGTCCAAACTGAGGAACCAGATGCTCACAGTTTTGTGGGAATGTCGAGGAATGACCCAGACATAGAGAAGCTTGTTGACGCCCCCATTTGATGACTCGAATGGTGGGGAGCGATGAAATTAGCAATAGGAGCCTCTATGGGTGCGCCACAGCTGTGCTGGTTTAGTCAGATGGAAACAATGCTTTTGATCGTGTACAGTCAATCAGTACACACAGCATTGCAGCCATGTGACAATTTGTATATAGCTGAGGCATGCCTATGTGTTCCAGAGCATATAGCCTTCAGTCTAGATACAATGGAATGATCCAGACCAACAGTCCTCTCCTAGGATCTCCAACAGTAGGATATCCTCTCCAAAAGAGCCAGTTCTGTCAACTGGAGTGAAATCGTGGTAATGGTGTTTTTAGCTTATAGTAAGAAAGATAGTAATGAAAGAGTAACCCCTGAGACCCAGTAGCACCCTCAGCCCTGCAGTAGATAGATTCCTGTGTGGTATGTGCTAGGGCAATGTAACCAGCTCCCCAAGTACTTTGAAGTAGTGATTGGGTAGCAAAGAACCAGCTCTCTTTGAGCTGGCCTTTCAGCCAGTGGAGGAGATCTCCATCAATAGAGATCTCCCTCCCAGCTCTTGTGTTCCTGCAACTGAGTTTCCTGGCGGAGATTCATAGGAATGACTCGACTCGACTCAGAATCATTCCTCATTCTGAAACTTAGCGGTGCCATTTGCTAATCGGTGCCACCTCGGTTCTATTGTATTCGCTAATGAGTGTGTCGCTACATGGCACCAATACCGATACCGGTATGAGGGCCAGGAGCGACTAATTACTATCACGGTACTGGTAGTACTTGCCCGCATGCTTCCACATGGCCGCAACCCAAACAAGATACTAGCTATTGCTCCTACTAGAGCCAGCTAGTACTACCGTAGTACCAGTACGGGGTGGCTTTGGCTTGTCCTTGGTCGTCTGCCACAGTACATTGTACCGGTACGGCTGTAGGCAGTGTGTTGAACCTTGATACGGTACACGGTACTAGAGTACGGTACGCCCAGGTCCCAAGAGATTCCCGCACGCATGGGGAGCTGAGTCACAGTTCCAATCCAAACATCCTCTCACATGTTGATCGCAGTTCCCATCCCAAGACCGCGCACCTCGGAGCAACCTTCGAAGAGGTGCGCATTGCACTTTCCAACGGACGATGGTCCATCATTGCACCCAAAGAAAACAAGAAAGCTGAAGACGTTGCTATGAAAACTTTGGGTTGACGGCCACCGATCAGACCAAGTCTTACACTGTAGAAACCATGGCAGCAAATATGCAAAAATGGCGCCGGAGGCACGATGTCTCTTCGAAGGGGGTTACGAATCAATGGCGAAGAGCTTCCAAGGTTGCATTTACTCGTCTGGGAGTCATTTTCGTGGGGATTACATTGGTGCTATTCTTGGGGGTCGACATGGCGGATGCCCAAAGACCGTCGATGCCAGTGGTGCCTACTGCCATAAAGCTGATACGAGAGAAGTCAGAACCAACTACAAAGCCAAATTTGTACGAACGAATGATAGACCAAATGGGTATACCCGACGGAAGCAAGTCCTCTCAGAGGAGACGAGAAGGACGCAGAAATGACACCCTCAGAGGCAGAGGGAGGAAGGACTCCATGTCGAACAAACGTTCGAGCTCTGAACATACTTTCGACAAGGCCGCGAATGTTGGAAACTTACGGAGGCAGAAACCACCAAACTCGTACGCACGTCGCCTTCGTACCAGACGAAAAGTAAAATCTGCGCGTACTTCGCCGCCCAACAGAAATTCTCGAATCAAAGGGGGCTCATCCAAGAAGCATAGGAGTTTGAAGAACAAAGGCATACTGATGCGAAAGATGAGCGGAGGAGCGTTATTGAGTGGGTTTGTCGGTGGGATTGCAGGTGGATCAGTTGTAGCAGGTAGCATCGCTGCTGGAATCATTATTGCACCAGCTTTCTCCATGACATCCTCCCCCACGGGCCCGACTGTTCCGACAACGTCGGCACCAACAACCGCACCTGTTCCGACAACGTCAGCACCAACTGTTTCGCCATCTTCTGCTCCATCTTATTCGCCTTCGGTATCACCGTCAACAACACCCTCTACGACGCCTTCAATTACACCCTCTTGGACACCTTCAGGTATGCCCTCTGGAACTCCATCTGGAACTCCCTCTGTATCTAGCCGACCAAGTGGTTCTGCTCCAACATCTATCTCACCATCGTCTCTACCCTCCACCACACCGTCAACCATACCTTCAACAACACCTTCAACCACATCTTCAACCACACCTTCAACCATACCTTCAACCACACCTTCAACCACACCTTCAACCACACCCTCCACAATACCTTCAACCATCCCGTCTTCAACACCTTCCACGATACCTTCAGCCGTAGGCGCATCATCTGCGCCATCAACCGCATCATCTGCGCCATCTAGCTTACCGTCATGGTTACCAACTTTGGCTCCATCTACCGGACCATCTATGGGACCTTCCGGTGGAACTACTCAGTCACCTTCTGTCCCACCAAGTGCGGGCCCCTCTGAGAACCCTGCAAGAGTCGTCACGACACGAACTCTGTCGAGCTTTGCGATTCAGAACCTTGCTGATAGGTTTCCAACTCAAGAAGAAATTGATGGCGTCATGGTTCAGCTCTCACTTTTCTTCAGTGCCCTACTGACTGATAGGTATCCTGGGGCAAGTCCACAATTTGAAAGTTTTACACCTACTGTCGACATTACCAGCAGTGAAGTACGTGGTCCATTCATCATCACAGATATCACATACGATTCAGAAACAGTATTTGTGGATTCCACAAACCTTCCAACATCAGCAGATATTGACAGCATCTTTCAGAATGCAGACTACCAAGTTTTCCTAACAGATTATATCCCCAATGTCACCCCAACAGACTCGATTTTTCTCCAGACTGTATCAGTCTCAAGCAACAGCGGTATAGATGCAAGAGTGGCATCACGCGCAAGATCTGGCCTTGTCCTTTCGGAAGCATCCCGTTTGCCAAACGATGAAGAGATTTCTGGCATCGCTGAGCAACTCCGGTTGTTCTTCAGTGACGTGGTGGATACGGCTTATCCTAGCTTTGAAACGCTCGAGCTCGTGGTTGTCGATAGTGCCAGTGAATTCGACGGTGGTATGACCCTTTCAGATATTGAGTACACGTTGGATTCTACGTTTGTCTTTGGCGACACTCCCACCGTCGACGAGTTCGATGCTTTGTTGGAAGGAGCTGATTACAATCGCTTCATCACGGACTTTGTTCCAAACACAACCCCTGCGGATTCAGTTTACCGAACCACCATTGCAGTTGCAACGGATAGTGGAATTACAGCGGCGCCAACTTCGGCACCAACTTTATCCACAACAGTCACATCGCAAGGTGTATTAGCTTTCACTCTCGGTGATACATCAGGAGAGTTTCCCAACTCGGATGAGGTGGCAGGCATTATGGATCAAATTGACCTCTTCTTCGCAGAAGTTCTCAGTGCAGCATACGATAATTTTGAAAGCGTCACCACCAACGAATCTGGCTCCAGCAGTTCGACTGATTCTCAAGATACTTTCACGGATGTTCCGTACACTCTGGTAGCAACATTCACTGATGGAACCGATCTCCCTTTGCTGGAAGATTTGAACACACTTCTTGAGAATGCAGATTATGGTGATTTCATCAGAAATTTTGTGCCGAATGCCCAGCCAGAAGGAACAATCTTCCTCAAGACAGAACAAGTGACAAATGTACTCGATGTAGCCGTCGACACAAGTGCGGTAATGAGGTTCATCATGGAGAACACATTTGGTAGAACCCCTACAGACACCGAGGTGGACGGAATCATGGTGCAAGTCAATTTGTTTTACACCGACGTCTTGAGGGCTGCCTTCCCAAACAATTTCTTGTCTTTTCAGGCTTCATCGAATGCCTATGAAAGCTTTAGCGTTGGAACTTTCACCTTCACGGACATCGACTATGCTGCCACGACACTGTTCATAAACTCTAACGTCCCTTCCAGGTCAGACGTCGAGGACGCTATTCAAGCTGCTGATCTCAATGATTTCATCCAAAACTTCATCCCCAATACAGAGCCAACCGGCAGCGTATTCTTGCTAACACAAATGGTCACAAGCACTCAAGGATCACCAGCCCCATCCTCAGCTCCAAGCGGACAAACCCCAGCCCCCAGCTCTATGGCCCCGACCCAACCGGATATTGTTGAGTCTGTTGCTACTTTGACCTTCATTCTCGATTTTGGCTTCAACGGTGGTCAACGAGTCCCCACCCAGGAAGAGATAGATGGTATTCTGGTACAAGTTGGATTGTTTTACACAGATGTGTTGAGAGCTGAGTTTCCAAACTTCGAGACCTTTCAGGTAGTAGAGGAAGTTGGAACCGTTAGCGAGCTTCGAGGGCCCTTTATCACCGTGACTCGGATAGCATATGCAGGCGAGACGATGTTTACTCCCGGCACTATGACTCCCACCAAAGACGACGTTGAAGTAGTGATCGCTGGGGCTGATCTCGAAGGAGATTTCCTTGTCAACTATGTTCCTAATGCTACCCCTGACGGGACAGTCTTTACAAGAACAAGCGCTGTGGTATCTGACACGGGTACATCTGCTCCTACATCTATAGTTGGGTTTATTGGAACAAGGGCCCCCACGAAAATTCCTGCCGAAACTGGAGCTCGTACAAACATTCCAGCGTCCGCACCGAGTGAATCCCCTTCCGCCAATTCATTGTTGCCCAGCAGTGAGCCAAGTGCGAATCCATCGGAGGATCCAACTGTTTCAGGAACTCTTCAACAAGATGGTGTGGATACCTTTGTGTTTACGTCAGAGGACGAAGAGGTAGCTACCTGGAGGACATTCACCACAACTTCGGATCATCGACCAAGGGATAGTACTACTACAAACGCGGCATCCACTGCTGAAACATACGTGAGACCAAACATCTTTCGGCATTCGCAAGCAAGAGGATCTACGGGGACAGCAAGAGCATCCGCACGGGCGAGTCGCACGCAACAGCACAGAAACAGGGGTGATGCATAGCTGCTAGCTAGCTAGCTAGCTAGCTAGCTAGCAAGTCGTGCTGGGGAGCCCGAGTGTGGTCGGTCCTACCGGTATGCGAGCACAGACCTTGACTTGCCAAGGTCGTCAAATACACGTAAGCAAAATGTGATATTGGCATTGGCGGGGATTCGTCCTGTCGTTGGATGGATTTGGAGACCAGTTGCATCAGAGCTATCGTATACGGAGCAGCTGATGGAAAGGTAGAATATTTGAATCACAATCTATTGAATCGACAAAAGAATATTTGACTTCTAATGACAGGGTAGGGTGAGCAATTAATTATATACAAATCTTCGTTTATGTATGCATTGTTTCAAAGTACCGGTACGAGTACAACTAACTGATTTATAAATTTTAACTAGCTAGCTAGCTAGCTAGAGAAGCAAACTGTAGCACTACATTTATTTGTGGATCATGACCCGACATATCTCGCAGCAGCCACCAAAAGAGAGGAAACGTTGGCACCCAACCCAGCACGTCTACTACTCACCCATACCCCAGCGTATAGCTGTACCACCATTTGTATTGTGACATATCAAAGAACTCAGCCGTGTTGAGTGAGGAGGGACTCTTAGTTTCTCTGCACAGTACATGTCGTACCATACGGTACCACATTGCTGTTGTTTGGTTGCCTCGTCGTGTGGAAAGGAACGAATGATATCGAATCCAATTTCCATTTTCTAGCTTTGCTGCTGCTCTGCTAACTACCGTATGTAGCTAACTAACTACTAATCCCTCTCCTCGATCTCATGGTCTGCTGTTGTTGACTTTGTGTTGGATCCATCAAGAGAGGAATGGCTTCCATACTGTCACTATCATCATCATCATCATTGACGTTTGGGTCTCTCAATCTCGATTGTGGTGGTGGTGGATGTTGTTCGGGGCGTGGTGATGATGAGTAGATGGAGGAAGTACCGGAAGATGTCCCGGTGCTCGAGTCATCGTCATCGTCCTCATCATCGGACGAGTTGATGATAATGCTCGTATGATTGTTATTGTTAGTATTGTTGTTGTTGGAGTTGTTGTTGGAGGAGGTGAGCTGTAGTATTGGTCGTACGAGACTCTGTCCTCGATGATTCCACGACACGTAATCGACACAGGGAATCCACGTGTCCATGGTCATTACAGTAGTAGTTTCATGATGATGAGAAGAAGAAGTATGGTTGTCACTCGCTCGTAACGAGAGACAGCAGAGCACGAGGAGCAGCAGCACCATGGATCCGGCCCAGTAGGCATCTTGTAAAAAGGAGGTAATTCCAAAGGCCCATAGTATTCCCGAGAGTAATCCACACATGACGGGTGTAATGGGATGACTGGGATAACTAAGGTACCCGAGAATGGCCCAACACGCCAGTGACGACAATGTGGACGATGACAGTAGATTGAATCCGAGCAACCAGACGCGATTGTCCACAAACGGGAGTACTTGGAGTGGTACATACGGAAAATGATGTTGAAAGAGTGTAATGAGCGCACAAGAGAGTGCCGTCAAGGTGCCAATGGGCCGTCGTAGAATTTTTTGTTGCATGCGATTATTGTCGTGCATGCTTGGCTGCAAGTGTTGTTGAAAGACATCTTGTCCTGCCAATCGTTTGGAAATTTTGAGCAGTGTGTGGCAGATTCGTAATTCGACCAATACGGAAATGGCAGCCAACGTCAAGAGGACACGGGCGTATTGCAGTGGTTGTGGTTTTTCTTCCAGTGGTACTACCGGTATGGTAGTTTCTGGTGACTGTAGTGGAATTGTCGTAATAGTAGTAGCATCGGATGCTGAGGATGGCAAGAACTGTCCCCAATTGTAAAAGCCTTCCAAAGCTCGACAAGACCAGAGAATGTGTGAATTGTACAGCAGCAGGGCAAATCCCGATTGATACGACCACGATGCCACTTGTCGTATCAGTGATGTCAACCAGGCTCGTAATTCTTGGTGGGGCATGAGCAGAGCGGCAGTATTCGCAGTAGTAGTAGTATTGTTGTTTCCCAGTGGCACTGCTGTAGGATTCAATGGCTCATCGGACTGTTGCTGTTGTCGAAAGACGGACGTATGATTACCAGCGGCAGGTGGATGCGACAACAAGGCCATCCAGAGTTTGTGAAATTGCCGCTTTTGCACAATCACATGATAGGAAACAAGCAGATCCTTGCGTCGTTGACGACTGTTCCATTGATGCAGAAACAACACATGGATCAACACAATCAGAAACACTGTCGTTCGACAATCATCATCTGTAGGGGGAATGATGATGCTACTACTACTAGCGGTATTGGCAGAGACGGACGTGTCGTTCATCATCATGGTCTTCTTCTTTTAATTTTCTCTTGATGGTTGATGGACTTGCCTCGAAGATTGAGGATTGAGCAGGAGGGTGAGACAAATAACTCAGCAGCGCTGAAATGACACCAAAAGCGTCAAGGAATAGATCCCTATCCCGATCATTCGATTCGATTCGATTCGTTCGATTCTATTCTATTCGATGCCGCTGTGATCAAATCGAATTGATATCCAAGGGATCTTTCCCAGTTCCCAAACAAAGCCACGAAGCGAAGCCAAAATAATTTTCAAGGTCCCAAACATCGGCCACTCACTCATCAGGCAATAGTAACCCCTCTGCCTCTCCATCTCGAACGACAACATACGACAATATACATACTAGTACTACTAGCTAGCTAGTATATACATATGATGTATTCACGGCTCTTGGTGAGGACTCCTCGAGGGTCTGGCAGTAGTCGTAGTAGGATCCTCAACTACTACCCGGCCGTTCCTGTGATTCTCACTGCCTCTTTGGTAGACCATTCGTCGACGAGAACAACCACAACATCAACACAACAACAACAAAAGAACAAGACACGTCTCGAGGAAGATCCCAACAATAAGAAAGAGGATGCTGCCAGTAAAAACAATAGAAAAGACAATCCAGTATTTGATATTACTCAAAAATGGAAGGAAGCTCGCAATGCCAGCGACTTTTGGAAGTCTACCATTTTCACAGAACAAGACGACAAGAAGACGACAACAACTGCCAAGGATGACACTACAACAACAAAGCCACTCAACCCACAGGATGGAACCAAAGAGGGTCTGGAATCCCTTCTCGTTGGAAAAATGCAAAAGTTTCTGGGGGTAGCACAACAATCGGACAACAACAGCAACGACAAAACCACTGCAGCCACCAAAGAAGATATGGCCACCACGTTCCAAGACATGGCCGCCAGCTTTACGGCCGTCTTGGCGGGAGGAGGCACACAAGATTCCATTCAACGCGTCGTCAATCAAGCCCGACAAAGTGCCGAACAGGGGGACGTCAGCGACAATAAGAGCCTCGATGAAGTCTTGGCCGTTTTGAAAGAATACGCCATGGCTCTGGAAGCAACCGCCACCAAGTTTTTGGGACAGGTCGATCTCTCCAATCTGTTCCCCACCAATCTATTCTACTATGTCGAACACGAAGATGCCGTCAAAAATCCGAGTTGGAAACGACGCATGCATCGATTCTATCCGGGAATTGATCTCGGGAGAATGGAGGATTTGAACGACGACTTGCAACTGGCTTTCTTGAGTTATGCCGATTCGGTAGACGAGATTCAAGAGGGACTCGAAAATCACAAGACACCCTTTCAGGTGGTATTGGTCGATACCAATAGTTATCCCAATCGACCGGCACATTTCATTGCGGTCAAACGATCACAACCCATTTGGAGTCCCTACCTCGAAGTGCTAGTGTGTGTCCGCGGTACCAAGACTATTGAAGATGCACTGACCGATCTACTCTGTGACGACGTGGCGTACAAGGGCGGAAAGGCACATTCGGGGGTATTAGAGGGTGGAAGATATTTGGCAGAGAAACACAAGCCACTACTATTAGAGTTGTTAAAGTCATCGGGAAAACCAAAAATGAAAGTACGGTTGATTGGACATTCGCTCGGAGCTGGTGCGGCCAGTATCATTGGCATGGAGTGGAACGATGACCCAAACTTGGAAGTGGAGGTGATTGGATTTGGATGTCCTGCACTCTTGTCCAAGGAGCTGTCGGAAAGTACCAAGGGATACATCACAACGGTGATTGCTGACAATGACTGTGTCCCGCGGTTGAGTGCAGCGGCAACGGTCAATGCATTGCTGGATATCATGGAATTTGACTACAGATCTAGGTGAGAACGCTTTAGACTATTGTCTTCTGAGAGATCATCCATCCTGCTTCTCACGATCCTCTCTTCTCAACCACATGTTTCTCTCTCACGATCCTCTCTTCTTTGCCACGGCGACGACAACAACAACAGCGCCCGACGAGATGTAAAGCATTCCATTGAAGAGCTGCAGCGCATGTACCCCATGATCATCACCAAAGGCCTCAGTCGAAAAATTACCGATTTTGTGGATCCTCTCATGGAGGAAATGCTGGCGGGTTCCATCAAGGCAACGAGTCAAAAGCGCATGGACCCGGTGCTGTTTCCACCGGGCAATATCATTCACTTTTATCGCGATGGAGTCGGCGTGACGGGAAGTGTCTGTCCGTGTGAGTTTTTTGGTGAATTGGATATCAATCGGCGCATGGTGGATGACCACTTGTTCTTTTCTGGATACCAACAAATATTCCTGGAACTGATGCGACAACATCACCAAGATCATTACTTTAGCTTTGATCATGGTGAGGTGCCCACCACCAAGAAAAAATAAAAAGCAAGTTATCCACTATTGTTTTTTGAGAACACACACAGTAGTGCTTGGATCTCGTTGCTTCACATTGGTGGTGTCGACCATCAAGCTACTGGTTGGTTCAGAGCCAGAGTTCGTTTGAAGACCAGACTCGCCCGAGCCGCCTTTTCCTGTTTGTAGTCTGCCGGTTTGACTGTATGCTGAAAGCGCGTTTGACAATCCGCGACCATTTCCATCACGTCCCCGTGCATGACGACAAACGTGTGAGGCTGCTCCTGTTTCTTGCTGTCATTTTGTTCTTGGGATGGAGCTCTGCGAAAGGCGACCCGTCTGCTGGCTCCGACACTGACCACTGCCGTGTTGTAATCCCACAAGACCCCTTGATCCGGATCCATATGATATCTCATGGCGGACCCTCCATCTGGGTACATGTTTAGCAAACACCCATCATAGTAGACTGCATCTGGAAACAAGAGTCCCGTCTGCATAGTTTGTTTGCCACAGTCATCATCATCATCATCATGTGTTTCTGTGGTTGTGGCCAGTTCATCTCGAATGGATTTCACCAACGGCGACCATGCATGTCGTTCCATGGACTTTCCGGAATAGGCAAAAGGATCGACTCCGTCGTCTCCCAGCCATGCCGTTTCCCGTCGTTCCCGTACCACCTGTTTTGTGGAAGTGGTTCGAATGGCATCGACTTGAAAGGGGACTTGTGCCACCAAATTGGCGACTGTCAGGTCGTTTACGAGTAGCAGTCGACCGGGACGGATTCGAAAGGGAAGATTGCAGGCATCATAGCGAGCTTGTAGTTTGTCGGGTAGTGACTTGTGGCTGCCATGCACGCAATGGAAACAGTCAAACGCCCACTGGAGTCCAGATAAGTGATGTGCTTCCTTGACAACATCCAGCGACGATTTAATTTTCCACATGTCCAAGACAGGTTGACAACATTCTTCCAGAGTGACAATGTGGGGCATCAGCCGTGCCAGAACGGCGAGACACTTGGTTCCTTCCACAAGAGACTCGATGGACGACGACGATGACGATGATGACGTCAAGGTTGGAATAATATTATGCTGAAGAATGGCTTGAGCATTCGCCGCCGAGTCCATCAGTTCGTCCACATGGAGCTTCCAGTCCGCCGGCAGTATTTTTTGGTGGCTGTCCGAAGGATGCAGAAACTCATTCTGCAGTGTCATTAGCTGCTTTGACAGACGGACCAAAACCAGGCTGGCAATTCGTCCATCTGGGTCAGATGATGGAGACAACTCTATTCCTACAGATTGCAGCACTTGACTCGGTGTGGTGCATTTCTGCAGGGCAAACGAGAGGGACTTGAAAGCGTCATTATGATGATGAGATTTGTCGCTACCACTGGTTCGTTGGATCATTCGTATCTTTCTTCTTTTGTTCCCAGAGACACTGCTGCTGATACTCAAGGCTACCACATCATGGTGACCTCCACGCAAGGCACAAATGCCAACAACCACAACAACAACGAGCCATAGCACAGCCATCATCTTCCTTTCTTCATCGTCGCATAAGATTATCGCATGGAACCATTGGCGGTCAACAGCCTTCGCATGGAACCCAAGAAGATGCCGGTGCATGGGACACCGAGGTTGGTCCTCTTATTTGGTTTTACAAAGATACTTTTGAAAGCCGGCAGAGCCATGTGTTGGCTGTCATACGAGGCTCCTTCAACAGCTGGCGACCACAATGCTGCATGCACCGCAACCAATGCTGCGTGCACACTCCTTCACTCGTACCAGGTACGACTGGTATGACATACCGGTACAGATTTAAGGTCCGGAAGCTAGCTAACAGTTCACAGCCATGGGAAAAAATAAATAGGCTCCAACAGTTTACTGAAAGCACCACTTACTTGCTCAGCTTTACCATCATGGTCGAGCTTGCGAGTCAGGCTTATGTGTTTTTACTCTGAGTACTGGTACTCTACGTACTGGAGCGAACAGATGCTCACAACGACCAAAGACTAGCTAGTCTATTAATTAATAAATTGGGATGCCTGTTGAACCTGATTAGATGCGCATATGAGATGCTCAAAAAGGGGGATGAAACGATGAAACCGTGAGTATGATTTATTTAGAGCTTTTTGGATTCATTCAGACTCTTGATGTTGATTTATTTAATTAATGCTTCTTGGTTGTATTCCCAACTACTTGGCGTATCGGTTTTGTGTGGACTTGTGGAATGTACAGTCGTATGTGGGATGTGGGATGATGTACCAGTACTGTAGTATCGTCAGATCCACTGTCGCACCTCGGTAGCCTCTCCTAGCCCTGGTACATGTGGCTTTGTACTCTTTTCCTCACAGTAAAATATGCTGAAATTCCGCCTCACATTTTAGATTCAAATCCACACTCTAGGTTTTCGACTGTACCGATGCGGAGATAACAAGCAACAACAAACAACAAAGCCTGCTGCTATCGACTGCTAGACGACGACCAATACCTTCACCACTGCTGGTGTAACTCACAAGGAAGCTCCGTCTATACCCATAGGACACCCGTTCCGAGTTACACCGCCACAGGCAGCCACCCAACATGGCGACTTACAAGGAGATAGAGGCTGCTTTTATTGCCGTGGCCCACACCGATTGCGTCTTAGGAGAGTGGATTCCACTCTCGTATTGGGCACACAAAGTATCACTGAAGCTTGAACAGTCACTCAAGATCTCAAGGCTAAAAGATAGCCTTACCAAAATGAATGCTCTGAATAGACCATTTGCCAGCAGCGCAGACCAAGTAAAGTATGGCGATATCATCAAGATCCACTGGACAGAACGAAGAATCTTGGTAGGAGGGAAGCTGAAGAGGATACACTTCTTCTGTGTTGAAACAGAGTACAAGAGCAGCGAGAAGTTGTCTACGAATGAGAAGGACAAACAGATTAAATTCGAGGGAAGATACTTCCATTACAATCGTCGAGAAACATTCCTCGCCAACACTCTTATTATCGATACACAGCCCACTCGAGCAGCACCGGCAACTGTAACACCAACCGACACAGTTCCTCCAAGGACAGCAAAGAATGATATATTGCATGAGAGTAACAGAGACCTTCGGAACTTGCTGGAAACTATTATTGATCCCGAGCAACTCGCTAATCCAACCTTATTTAATTTTGACATTGATTTACACAAGTTTAGATCAACAATACTACAAATGGGTAGAGGTCTGCAGAAGGAGGCAAACGAAGCAAGAAATAAGCTGTTTGCCGGCAACGACGATGACTTGACCAACAGAATCGACCTGGGAAAATATTCACCTTTCCTTGATAAACATTGCTGTCCACTGCGCCGGTCCTCGATCCAGAGCTTTTTGCATATCGCACTTCAAATCAATGAAGAGTTACCGTCAGCCAGCATCCTTCAGCTGGAGAAGTACGGTGGGAGCAAGGGCCTTGGTCTGCATCTGGTTCCCGTCATTCCAGCCGATTCGCCACAGTCTTTCATTAAGAATGCGAGGAAGTACTTGCCAACGGTGTATGAGGCCATGGTCTACGGAGATAGTTTCCCAAGGAGAGCCCTCTGCTTCCATCTGACCAGATTGCATCAAGAGCACGAGCCAGAAGCCTTTGAAGATATCATTCAAACCGCAAATATTCGAGTGCCAAAGATGGACCCACACCGGCAAATCGCTATGTGTCAGCAGCTCAATTTAACCTATGCAAAAGTGAGAGAAATGAGAACTTTCTTTTTGGCAGAAGGATGCAATCCTCTCAACCCGGAGTGGCAAATAAGGAAACTGGAAGCAAAGGTCACTGTTCAACCTACCTTGCTTCGGTTTCGCGAAGAGAAGACCAATCGAACTGGCTGGGTTCGATCGGCTGAGGATGTTGTCAGGAATGAAATCAAATCGGAGGCCACACTAGCAGATGATTGTGTTCACGTTGTTCTTTCTGCGGATCATGGCCAAGGAGCGTTTCGTGTTCACATTTCAATCCTTTTCATTTCAGGCAAGAGAGTCCGCAAAGAGTCCCATGAACTGATTGGAATGATCAACTGCAGGAAAGACACACGGGAAGTGCTTCTATCCAGCGGAATTTCACAGGCCGTCAACGAATCCTTGAAGAGCCTCATGGAAAATCCTGGCGGCCTTCCAATCGAGCTGTTTGTTACTGGAGACTTGGCCTTTTATGCTCTTGCTCTTGGCAAGGAAAATATGTCGGGCCAACACTGCTGGGAGTGTCAGTTGATGCGAAGTCAATTCCAAGTCGATCCTACAAAGAAAGGCAGAGCATGGACACTGAGGCTGATGAGGAAAAGATACAACAAACTGGAGAAGAAAGAGCTGAAGCGCACAAACCCGTTCCAGCAGAAGGGCATCAAGACCTTACCTCTCTTTGACTGCATCGAGCCAACAAACTACCTGCCGCCACCGCTCCACTCTGTCGTTCTACTGGTCAATACTCCATATGACTACCTGCAGAAAATTGTCTGGTATCGGCTTGAGAATGTGCCGGTGAATTTGATGGAAGCCAGATTTGCCAAAGCGGATGCTGAACTCGAGGTTGGTCGGCTGTGGAAGGACTTGGTTGACGCAGAGGAACACTGGAATGAAATGTACAACGTGATGACGGAGCTTGTGGGAAATCCAGACACCCAATTCGAAGATACAGACCATGAGCAAGACTACGTCCGACATGAGGAGCATCTCAACCTAGCAAAAGCGTGGTTTGAAGAAGCACACAAGGCGCATTCGAAAGCTTCCGATCAGCTGAAGGCAAAAAAGAAAGCGTTGAAAAAGTTAGAGGACAATAAGAAGGAATACGGCCGGACAGCACAAGACCTGTGGATGGTCATCCAACGGAAGCTTGACAAGCACTACAATGTGCATATATCCTCTTACCATGGAGGAGCAATGGAAGGAAATGAGTGTAGGAGGTTGCTCCGAGAAGCGGTACCAATAATGGATGACATTCACCAAATTTTGCTGGAGCATCTAAACAGTTTGTCGGAGGAAGAGAGGAAGCAGTTCAAAGCTGACCCTGCCGAAGTGGAGCTCTTTTGCGAAGGATTCAAAAGGCTCTTCCAGTACATGGACGTGATAGCCCATTATTGTTACCAACCGTACGGAAGCATGAGTGATGAGGACGTTATCGACGCTCACAAGGCAATCGATTTGGCAACCGCCTTGTGGCTTCGATTGATGCCGACGATTCCAATCAAAGTTCACGCATGGCAACATCTCAAGGACGCATTGGAGAGACTCAGAGGAATGAAGAGTCACATGGAAGAAGTCATGGAGAGGTGCCACCAACAAGGCAAGCGCGACAACACAAGGCTGAGGTGCTATCGCGATGATTTCAAAAAGGCTCTCAATATCCTCCGACACGCTGCCACAGGCAAGAAGAAGGAAGTCCAGCAGAAGCTAGAGGAGACGCTGGAAGCAAAGAAGCAGAGAGGCCGCAAGAGGAAGAAGTCGGAGCTTGACCAGGAGATTGCCAAAGAGCGTCGGTCAGTGTATCTCAAATCAATCACATCGTTGCCTCCTTTGGAGAAGGAATACCCAAGGCTGCCAGAGTTACTGAAGCTTTATCGTAGTGGGCAACCACAACAGCAAGGACAAGATGAAGAGGAGGATGTGCCTGAAGAGGAAGAAGAAGCAACCGTCACGGATTGAATATGCCATCGTCATGGTGGAGGAGTTACGGTGGCTGGAGGAGGCAGTTACGGTGGCTGGAGGAGTTACGGTGGCTGGAGCGAGGAGTTTATTGGTTTATTGGATCGATCGATCGCTCTATCTCCGCTACCACAACACCAAGAGGAACAGTAGGATGTGCCTGAAGAGGAAGAAGCGACGGATTGAATGCCACCGTCGAGGAGTAAGGAGTATGCCATGGTCGATGAGTAAAGGAGTTTATTATCTTATGCGATCGAACGAAAAGAACAGATCTGTTCCACGGAGGAGGTGCGACGATCCAAACGGAGGAATAAATAAATAAATAGGAATAAATAAATAAATACTGACGTACGTGTTAACTTCAACCCTAACCTCGAATATATTCGTTGAAACCGATTCGAACGGTATTGCTGGATTTAAGGGGAAAATTCCTGTAGTTTCTACGAGAGCTGAGGCCTCTATCCTTTTGTGCGACAGTGATCGGGAGCAGCTAATTTTTACTCAGTACCAGAGTATTAAATACCAGATTGAGAGATTGAGATGCTCAAAGTGTTACAAGACCTAGAGATGGGCTTCTCGAGTCTCAGGCTTATGTTTTAGTCAAGGACGGTGAGAAAACGCAATGTAACGGTGGCATGATTTATTTAAGAATGTTTGGTTTATACTCCGTTACCTGGCCCACATGTACCAGTTACAGTACTAGTACCAGCCAGTATGGTAGCAACTTCCATCTTACTTCAAAAGAAATTTTGGGATCGATGGGAAGAACCTTCCTGTGCCATGCATCGGTTACAGTCTGAAAGCTTTTCATGCAGATTTACTCTCACAATTTGAAAGTCAAAGACATCAAACAGAAGGAACAAACAACTGCTTTTCATCACACATTTCATCAAGCTCGCCACCATGTTCACCAAGCTATCTCTCATTGCTCTTGGCCTCCTTGGTAGCCTGTCTCCCACAAGGGCTGCTACACCTGTTACGTACACTTCGGATGCTGCCAACAGTAACTTACGAATTCCACTGGATACCAGCCGAACCTCAGGACCAACCGTCTCTAACATTTTTGTGGATGCAACCTTTGAAATCTGCGACGTCGACATTTCAGTGGACATCACCCACACTTGGACTTCTGACTTGGAGATTGACATCAGCCTTGATGTTGATGGACCAGACCCAACAACTGATCCTGTTGATATGATTCGGCTTCAGTATGATGATTGTGAGCGTACCGATGATCTTGTTGTTGTTTTTGATGACTCGAGTACAAACAGTCTTGATGGTGCTAGTGAAGACGAGCCGCTTTGTGATGATAATGGAGTAGACGTTCGGCCAGAAGAGTCTCTCTCTACTTTCAATGGCCACCAATCAACAGGTTACTGGACACTTCACATCAATGATGATGCTGGTGCTGACATAGGAACACTTAATTCTTGGTCTGTGATCCTCACTCCTTGTGAACCAATCACTGATGGAGCTGGCACAGGTGACCCCCACTTCAAGACTTGGGTTGGAGAGTGGTTCGACTTCCATGGAGAATGTGACTTGGTCTTTATCGACAGCCCCAAGTTTGGACATGGAACTGGATTGGCGATCCACATTCGAACCAAGGCTCGTTACCAGTACTCTTTCATTGAGTCTGCTGCTGTTCAAATTGGAGACAGCGTCTTGGAGGTTGGTGAATATGGTAACTACATGTTGGATGGCGTCTCCAATGCAGAGCTTGAAAAGATGGATGACAAGTACCCTGTCACCCACAAGAAGGTCAACTCCAAGCAACACATCTTCACTGTTGAGCTTGGAGAGGGAAAGCAGATTATTATTCAATCTTTCAAGGACCTGGTCAGTGTCAAGACTGTGGGTGCCAGCCCTGAGGAGTACAGAGGCAGCCAGGGTCTTTTGGGAGAGTTTGGAACTGGCAAGTGGATGTCCCGCAATGGCACCGTCATGGCAGATGCTGATGCGTTTGGCAATGAATGGCAAGTCCTTGAAACAGAACCCAAGCTCTTCCAGACAAACAGATTCCCCCAGCACCCAGTGAAATGCAGTATGCCTGGCCCTGAAAGAGAAGGACGCCGCCGTCTGGGTGAATCCACTATTTCCATGGAAGCTGCAGAGAAAGTCTGTGAGCATTGGGGAGACTTGAAAGACCAGTGTGTCTATGATGTCATGGCTGCTGAGGATTTGGAGCTTGCTGAGGCTGGAGCGTTCTAAGAGCAATCATGTTTTTCTCGCGGCAATCGATGGTCGACCATGACGAACAACATCAGCCGATGGACCGCAGAGGAGACCAACGCTGTCAATGAAGAAAGCCGGCATTGTGGAAGTGTTTCGGCCATTGTCGAGGAGGTGAGGGGAAAAAAGGGCGTTGCTTCTGCACTTGATCTACGAATTTACGGAAACTTGACTAACTGGAGAGGTGGATCGACGCCTAGTTTCGTGCGTTCGGGACTGTTTACCCTCTCATTAACCTTCCTTTAGCCAACAACCATTAGACTATCAACAAGATCAGTTTTCCGTCTTCTCGTGCAACAAAAATAGACATAGTATGGCGTTGCAGCTGCGGATACGGCCTTCTCCTCTTGAAGACGTCTCCGCCATGGCAGGCTCCTCTTTTGCTCGGCTACGGTAGGCTGGAAGCAGCTGCAGCGAGCTTCTTCCGTTTCCGACGGATCGATTCTCATTCGGTGGGCCGATGATTTCCTTCTTCTTCCACGGCGTCTCTTTCACGGAGAGGCGATGACGCCTCCTCTTGACGGAGCGACGTTTGCAACAAGCTGCTACTACTCTATGCAGATCTACCGGAGCGACGGTCTATCGACTTGCCAGGACGCTTCTACGGATAGACGGTTTACAACTGTTGCCATGCTGCGACCATGGTCGACCCTTTTCAACGAATTCCACCGAAAGACACTTGATCGTCCCCTGCCAAGCTTCCACAGCCACGAATGCCTCGTTTGAGAAACCAAGACCGGCAACGGTGACAATGAAGATGACAATGGCGACGAGGATACTGTTCTGCCTTTGAAGCGGCGGAGGCGACGGAAGCCATTGCGTGGTGAAATCAAAAGTGAGAAGAGTGTAAAATTTTCATCGCGTAAATTACTAGTGGGATGAGTGTGACAGATTCGGCTTCTAACTTCAAGTCCATTGAGGACAGCCACACATAGAAACAATCAACAAACCAATCTTGGGCTACCGTAGCTACAAGGTTTCCTATGGCGCCATAGGGAAAATGATAAAGGGATTTCATGTTGCTGTCATTTTGCCATGGATTTCTCGGGATCCATGGGGAAGGTGCTAAAACCATCCCTTTCTAAAAAAAGCACTCCATCTGCACTTCAAAACAGTAGTAGAGTAGATGTCTCTTGTTGCATTAGAAGTAGCAGTAGCGGAAGCCCGGTTTGTAGCAAGTAGACTAGCATCCATCGATCCACGGAACTCTTCGATGATAATTGCCGTCTTGGCAAATAGAGCGCCGCCCAGTCTGATCCGGCCTATACTCAGTACCATACTCAGACAGAACTGTTCTTGTTCTATCTCTGTTTGCGCCTTCTTCCCCATCAGTTGGCGGGCCAAGGAATCTATCATACAGTACCGCCAATTATTTGGGATACGGTATTGGCTTCTGAGTGAAGGGATTGTTGGCAAGTAAGTCTCCACCACGCCATAAAAATTCGTTGGGAGTCCGAGCTACTCTCGCTTTCCTATCGCAGGGCAATGATATCTCACGCGGGACGTGGCGTTCGTTGATTCATTCATTCCATTCATTCATTCAAGGGTGAATTCGAAATGGTGCGCGCTGAGCTTTCGGCTACGGCGTCCCGTTTGAATGGCAGATGCAACGGCCATGGGAGGGGGCGCACGGTTCCTTTGCTTGACCGTGCTCCAGAGCGACAGAATTGGAGGCGACGAGATGGTACCAGGTACTGTTGCTTGGAGGAGCTCGTCATCGATTCATTCATCGCTCCAGTACATCGCCGAATAAATAACACATACCGACGCATTGAAAAACTCTGGTATTGTAGTTGGGGAGTGGAATAGATTGACGAGATGATGGAAAAACACAAAAACAAATGCTATGGCCTGTTGCCCCTAGTTGTTCTGCATGAGGCTGCAACATTTGTTTGGTCATTTTACCATGTTCCTGTCAAGAACAAGCACTCCCCAAGTAGGACGTGCCCATTTTCCATGATATTTCGAAAATGTGAGGTCAAAATGTGAGGCTTAGTTTTAAACTAGATGGCCGGCTCTGCAGTCACAGATTGTCTTTCCTGTTTTGGATTTAGCCGTTGCATCCAAAGTAAATCGCATCCCACCATGGGCATCTATTTTCGTTCATGTGTGCACGATCAGTCACCATGTTGTTACTGTTGACACCCTCCACGAGTGCACGTCACTCCTCTCACAACACACCAACTCCTTCCGAGTAACCATCCGAATGAAGTTTCGACAATGATGTAATGCCTCTTTGTCAGATGGGATCGATATTTGGGACCATGTTGGTTGACACAAGATTCAGTGAGAGAGGACGAACGACTGTTGGCTCAACGGCAAAAGATCCCATCCGAATCGATGGATCAGTCGGAGGCTTTTTCATTCTTCACTTTTCAGTTGGCATCTCATTATTTTGCCAATCGACACTTTACAGGGGAAACTCTTCTAAATCCACTCTCCACCGTTCAAGCAGCAATCAATCGACCATGGGGATGGGCCGTTCGCTTGGGACGATGTGGGAGCTGACACCGTTGTGCTGCTCGAAGACGAGGATCCTCTCATAAATTCCGAAGCTCTGCTCGAATCGCTGCAAGCCATCGGCAATGGCCATCTGCCGACATCATTGGGGTTCTCGGACTGATTCTACTTGCCGCTGCTTCTTGTGCGCCACCGTCGTTGCCGTCATCTTACAAGGATTTTCCTTGCTCTTCCGGTCCACGCTTGGCTTCCACAAGCCTCCGTCGGATTCCTTCGGATTCCTTCGCTCAATCTTCCACCATGCCGGGCAAGCGCAAGAACAAGAAGGGCGGCAAGGGCTTCTACCAAACCAAGAGCAAGAAGCACCGGTCCAAGGATGAAAGGGCTGTGTGGTCCCGACAACAGCAAGCCGCCTTGCAGACTCCCCATGCAGTCACTCCTCATGTCAACACTGGTCCCTTCCACAATGAAGATATTGATGATGTGCTTCCTCCTCCCGCCGCTTCTCTTCGCTCTGCTGCTCGCAAGCCACCACCCAAGCTGGATGATGAACGATTGGATGAACTCTTGGGTCCCCCCTCGGATGATGAGCCTCCTTCCGACGATGATGATGCAGCAGCAGACCTTCGTCTCACTCCTGAAGAGATGGAATCTTTCCTGAGTCAGCAATCCTTTCTTCACCATGACCGTTCAGAGCGCATTGCAACTTACCACCTCTATTGCCGGGTGCACAACTTCCCTTCGGATTGGACTGGAAAGGGGAGCACTGGATTGGCCATCAAGGACGCTCTTGGGATGAAGACACGGAAGCCAATCAAGAATATCTTCGGAGACATCAATTACTGTGCCAAGAACGACCTTGAGTATGTTGGTCAGCGATTCTATTCACGGTTCAAGCCCGTCAAGATTCCTGATGGCTCCAAAGCTGCTGAGACTATCGCTACTTTGATTGAGTCACGAGGAGACAGTCTCCGAATTGCCACTGACACACTCAATGAATGTCGAATTGATGATGGTGTGGAGCCGTATTCTGATTCCGCTGTCCGTGAATTGGTCCAGCGTCTCCCAAGCCGGAAAGTTCCCATTCGCAAGATGAAGCAAGGGAACCACGACAAAAATTCTCCGTGGGCTCGACGCCGCTTTGCCTGGGTTTATCAGTTGCTACTTCGACTCGGCGCGGAGAAGGAGACGGAGCCTCATGACCTGTTCGAGCTTCCACCTTCCGTCCTGGAGGTGCCCGAGACTCTTTTGGACGAAGAGGAGCTCAAGTTATACGAGGAGGATGGGACTCTGCCGGTTTACTTTGATCCTCAAGCGCTGTTTACTTATCGTTTTGGTCTGCAACATGTCGCCTTTTGGGATGAGATGCATCGGAAATGCATCATCGGAACCAGCCACGCACAAGTCGATCGTGATTATCAGCTGCAGTTTCTATGCGATGCGGATGGCAACTTGGATCCGAATGGGACTTACGATCAAGCGTCGCCTGCTCACAAACTGAACGTCAAGTTCGAGAAGGAGGGTCGTTGGAGTTTCGGAATGGCAATGGTCGTGGACGACAATGGTGGCAAGGAAGGATACGTCTTGGAACCTTTCGATTACACTACCAAGCTTCTCATCTCCTTGAAGCAATACCGCAAGCTTGTCAAGGAGGAGATTTCCCGTGTCAAGAAATTGGGTGATCGTCCAGCCAAGTCCCATGGTTGGTTCGAATCGGCTCGTGAGAATGACAAGCTCTACATGGACGACTATCTTTGTCAAGGCATGATCAAAGGATGCGCCAAGACAATCATTGGAAAGATCAAAGTCTTTGAGATCCACACTGTCCGTGATTTTGCTGAGGCCTCCGACAGTGACATTACTCGAATGTCAAATGGCGTCAACGATCGCGGCAAGAAGATGGCAAAAGTTGGAGCAAGCGTCAAGAGACTCAAAGGATGGCGTGAAGAATGTCAACAGGGCATTGAGGAAATTCCCGACGACATCGATTTTCGCAAGGAAAAGAATCCGTACCTGGCTCGTTACGGTGATGAGTGGCGGCATTTCATCCAGAAAGCCAAGGGAGTTTCAAGTACTGTGTGTGTCACGGAACTTGTCAAGCACATCTACGAACAAACCCAAGCCCACTTTGAAGAGTTTTATCCAGATCTTCCGTCCAATCGTTGGTACTTTTATCATGACGCTTTGTCCCAGATGACGAACAAGGAGTGTGTCGCTTGGATGAAAGAGCATGGCTACTACGATCACTGGCTGCTTCCTGTTTCCGAGATGTCTGTGACTGGAGAATGGCGTGACGCTTTTCCTAGTGGCAACAGTCCGGAGATGATGCCATGGGACACAAGCTGCAATAAGTATTTGAACGACTGTGTCAACCGTCACATTATCATGACGAGTCATTTGCCCGATGATGATTCTCGCAAGTTTGCTATCTGCACGCCGAAGCGGGGGCAAGAGGCTTACATGCGCTGTATTGATGGGGCGCCAACCAGCAAACAGATCTGCACCGACATCCTCAAGTTCGCCCATGCTCTCAAGGAGATCTATCGAAACGAGGGAGCAATTGTGCATCGATTGGGTGACCGAACTGGCTCGCGTGGACAGAGTGCACGGGCTGCTTTGGCGGCTGACGGGAAGAAGGTGGATCGTCGTGGAGGACCTCGTTATCGTGACATCGAAAAGCAGATCAAGCGCATGAGGGATGTGTGGTGGCATGACGATGCGGAGTCTGTTTTGCGTGGAAGGGGACAGCCAGAGATTGATTTGACGAGTGCCGAGGCTCAGGCGGCACTTGACGAGGAGAATCCCTTGGGCCTCCTGTGGAACGAGAACAACCAGCTGGAGGATCAGGAGTTTGACGAGGATGGGGTTGTCTTTGATGCGAACGGAGAAGAGATCTTGCAAGGTGAGTTCTTGTGCTGTTGTTGCCTGTATTCTTTTGGTCTCCTTTCTAACTGTTGCCATTTTTGGATTCAAAGGTGGAGATTGAGTGCAAGTATTGACTGTTGCATGGGATGTAACAGTGGGAATTGTTGTTGAGTGTTTGTCAAGCTATTTTGCTTGGCTTTTTGGTGAGTCTGTGGCCCTGTTTTGAACTACTTGCTTGCCTGTACAGATTTCTAACCCTTGCTTTACAGTGTTTGCATTTTTTACATTTTACTCCAAAATGTGAGCAGCTTCGAAAGAGGCTTGTGGCTAACATGAGATCTTCAGTTGCACAAAGCTCGTGTTTCCCCACCCAGTCCGACAGTGGACTGCCTGCTGCCTGCCACAGCGGAAGGACCACTGGTTGAACTGTGTGATGTTGCGCGAGCTCTGTGCCACTGAAAGGATCTTTTGCAACGGAGTGGTGATCTTTCGCGACCGATGGGATGTTCGAGGAATTTGTGGTTGGATCGTTCGATCTTTCGATTGGCTGGGCTTGATTGCATCTTTGGTCACGGCATCTTGCATGGCCACATGTCGCTGCGTCTTACTAGTTCGTTGGTGGATTGCTTGTGAGAGAAAGCATCTCTTTACAGGTGTTTCAGTGGTCAAAAACGTTTCGCAGATTGACAGGCTTGTTTCTTTTTTTCTTTCTCGGAACTGTGATTAGAATGTGTGACTTAAAGAAACGGCTTGCCTTTCAATCCCAATTCGGAAAGAAATGACTCGTAAGCGAGGCGAGCCTCACTTTTTTCCAAAATCAGTTTCAAAAGTACATTAAACTCAATAGAAAATCTTTGTTTCTGCGACAACTTGATCATGCCCTAGCATCACCAGTTTACACTCTATGACATTGTTACCCATACTAGTAGTCCACCCTGGGTTTTACACCTCCCTTGACACGATGCAGCAGTCAAAGCAGCCACTGGAGCAACTTGAAAATTTCATTACCCATACCTTTCAATGCGTCGGTAGCCAGTGTTTCTTTCCGAAAATGGAAGCTCTAGCACTCTCTCTCAATGGAGGAGCAATCAATCGAAATGACATGTCGCACTGCAGCTCCACTCCTGTGCTGCATCGGGGATGGTAAATTGTATGCCTCCGGGGACAACAAATAAAATTTCAACCTTTTCCTCTTCGAAACTGATGTGTTTGTTGCCTCAAGGGCCGCAAGAAGCTGGCTCGAAATGTTGTGGTATTGAATGGGTGGGTCTTTGACACTGTGTACTGGATACAATAAAGTTTCGCCTTTGCGTCCACAAACGCTGCATCAATGTTCGCAAAATTTGAAATGCTTGCTTGGGATCCAATACGCTGAGTGCCTCGTAAGCTGGGATACTCCATCTGCCCCGCTGCCTACGGCTTGAATGACTTCTTGCACTGGAGGAGGAGGGGGGGCTCCTTTTGAAGCACTCATGCAGAAGCTCTTCAAAGTGGCAACCAGCTGCTGTCATCAATTTCTTCTCCTTGGCAAATTGATAAGCATGCATTCTCTTGACAGCTAACAACTTTACCAACAGCCTCAAATTGGTTGACATAAACACGCTCTGCGTGATGGCTACAGTAGTACCTCTGCAATGCTGTTGGATCCCTTGAGGCAACCAGAGAGGCCGTGGGTAGCTTGTACGTATTGGATTCCCTTCTTTGAAGGACTCTTTTCCTATAACATCATGATTTTTTGACATCGCTGCAGCTATCGCTGCCATCTAGAGTCTAGTACTGCGTCTCCTGCCAGTGTTTCCTTTTTCTCATCGAGTAAGTTACAGTGTAGCTACACTCCCCCACCTTCTCTTTTGGGATTTTCTATAAGGGGGTCTAGCTAGATTCTAGAGTAGGGTAGATATCATCTAGTATTTTCGGAAACCGGCACACTTCGTCAGCCATCTCCGAACGAGCTGGCTGGCTATCGTTTACATATAGCGTGATAGCTAGTAGCTTTAATGTTGGTGCCGATGTTGCCCTACCGGTATCTTTTGAATGATATCTCGCTCACAGCCAGTTGTCCCAATGTCCCAATCGCAGAATAGCTCCAGCATGGTTCCTCCTTATTCCGGAAGGGCCCTGTTGGCGACCATCCACTTAGAGGATGGAACCGCAACGTTTTTTAGCGTAGCGTTTTTAGCGTTTTAGCGTAGCGTTTTATACGCTACGCTAGCCCCAAGTGTTTGCGTTTTTTAGCGTGTTTGTGTAGTAGTGTATAAAAACAGTGTTTTTAGCGTTTTATAGCGTTTTATAGCGTTTTATCTCTGTTTTAACGTTTTTCAATGAAGATGCCACTTACAACCTTGTATAACTTACTTCACCAACTCTTTATACATATATATGAACTTTCTGAGGTGTACTGGTGCCGTGCATGTTGGTATGGTTCTATAGCACTATCGGGCCTGAAAATGACATGTTTGGATGCAAAATGAGGTCAGATATGCTACTTTGGGTTATCTGGAAGGATGTGCTGCAGTGACCAAACATGAACTAACTCCTTATACATATAGATGAACTTTGGTACTGGTGCCGGTGCGTGTTGGTATGGTTCTATAGCACCATCGGGCCTGAAAATGACATGTTTGGATGCAAAATGAGACAGATATGCTACTTGGGTTATCTGGAGGATGTGCTGCAGTGACCAAACATGAACTAACTCCTTATACATATAGATGAATATCCATTTCTAAAGAATCACACCATTCTTAATAGTCTGATTGCACTCTATTGTAGTGCACCAATACTGTAAAAAACGCTAACAGAAACGCTAACAAAAACGCTAATAAAACGCTATCAAAAACGCTGAGCTCATAGTAATAAAAAACGCTAAAAAACGCATAATAACAAACGCTAAGGGGACCTGTTAGCGTTTAAACGCTACGCTTGACCCTAGCGTTTGCGGTTCCATCCTCTACATCCACTACTAGTAGAGCTAGCTAGAGCTTACTGGATCAGCAGGGAGCTATTCGGAGCTCTACGCCAATAGCTAGCTGGCAATGCATCTATGCATACCAGAGGTAGCCAGCGCTGGGGTTGTGCTCGGAAATTGGTGGACTGCCCCTAGGCATAGGCGATTGGCAGGCACTGCTTTTTTTTCCTATTTTTCCTATGCACTACCGGTACGACTACGAGGGCTGGTGGTCTTTTGGTCTGGGTGACTTGTGACTTGTGCACAATCCAATAATTGTTCATGTTGAGTTCGTAATTCGTCCGAGCTGCAAGGACAGTTGCTCCTATTTACATGCGAACATGTATGAGTGTATGAGCTACGTATGCTACATGTAACAGTCATCACTTACGACAGATGTCCAGATGTCCAGCAGATGACGCGCGAAAATAAGAAGCCTGGCTTCTTCAACCTTCAACCCCAATAATTATGGGTCCCGAAGGAGTGACAGTCGAACCTTTGAAATTTTGCTTGGGTTGCGGTTTGCGGTTTGCGGGCCTTTCTATCCCAGCTTTTTATTTCACGGCTTCATCGATCGATCCAGCGACCTGCAGCAAACAACAAAAGTATTCTGCCATCCACACAGCAAGCAAACATTGCAACTGCACCGCGAGCCCAGCGTAGCTTGCAAGCTCCACTACAGTAGAGTACTAGCAGCTAGTAGATCGAGAAGATTGCACAAGAAAATGGATCAAGCCGAGGCTTCTCAGCCGCGGAGGCAAACTGATGACTATGATGAACAGGAGGCCAAGCTGAAGGGTGTCCGGGAGGTGGTGCTCGCCAAGCTTGGGATGGATGATGATGACTCGATTGCCAGTACTATTGAAGTCAACAAGTCAGTGGGAATCCACACGGACACGGACGAAGCGCTTCTTAAAGATGTCCGAATTTCTGTACTATCCTCTCTTGGCTTTGATGACGACCCAAAGGCAACCATAGGAGATACAGAAACTGTGCAAAATGACACAGACACGGATGAAGCGCTTCTTAAAGATGTCAGATTGTCCATACTATCCTCTCTTGGTTTTGATGATGACCCAAAGGCAACCATAGAAGCTGCCGGTACGGAAACTGTACGAGTTGACACGGATTGGACCGTTGCTCCCAAGGACGAGGAAGCTCCATCTGTCCAACGTACCTCTGAGGATAGTTCCATCCCGCGAACTGACGATTGTGCGAAAGTGGTCGATAAGGAAAAGGAAATCCTCGAAATCGGCACAGCTGTCCCAGAAAACAATGTCAACAGAGACCCACTCAATGGCAGTGTGAATTCTGAAGGGCTTCCCCTACCTCCTGGTGAAACCCTTCAACGTGCTGTGTTGGCAAGAACTCTGGCTACTCCTGGTGCCTATGCCATGCCTGGGGTGTATCATCCTCCGGGTGATAGTGGTGCACAGCAGGGCAATGAAAGAGATCGCGAAACAGAAACTGAAGAAGCTACCTCGTCACCAACGCAGACGGATCACCATCAGGAAGGAACAGAGGGCTTAGTGGTCGCTAATATGGTCACGGATGCAAGTGGCCCCACTCTTGATCAAGCAGAAGAAGTGACCTCTGAAGAATTACAAAGGAACAAGAGGCATTCATCAGTTGCACGGCCACTGATGAGGTTCTTGGCTGCTGGGTTTGTGGGAATTGCTGTGTTAGTGGTGGCTCTGGTTCTCATACTCCGTAATGACAGTGAGGAAGGTGGATATAGCAATGGCCATAGCAAGGAGTCCGCCCCTTTCCCTCAAAATGAGACTCTGCCTCCGCTTCCAATGACAGCAGAAGAGCTTGTCTTGTCTCTACTGCCTAACTCTACTGTATTGGAACTATCTGATGAGCAGTCTCCTCAGAAGAGAGCATTCAATTGGATCATCCAAGATCCACTCTTTGACAACTACACAGATCACCGCATCCTTCAGCGCTATGGCCTTGCTACATTTTACTATGCAACTGGAGGGGGGACCAAGACTAACTGGTACACCGATGTTCATTGGCTCTCTTATGACCATCACGAATGTGACTGGGAGGTGGAAAACATTGACTGGTGCCACAGCTATGTGATCAATGACAATGAGAGCAAACCAGTTGGACCTTGTGATTACAATATTGATGAGCCATTCATTAGTGCCACTCCTCAGCAAATGGAGGAAGGGGGTATCTTTCAACATCTTTGGTTGTTTAATCACGAGCTTGGGGGGTACATACCAGAAGAGCTTACCCTTGTTTCCACCCTGAAGAGTCTTGCTCTCTTGAAGAGCCAAATCAAAGGTTCGATCCCATCCCACCTGGGCAGGCTTTCAGATTTGGAAGCCCTATTCTTGTACAGCAATGACTTGTCTGGGACGCTCCCAACTGAGCTTGGGATGCTTCCAAATATCATGCACATTTGGTCAATGGCCAACCCAGGGTTGACTGGGTCCTTCCAAGTGAGATTGCTCAGTGTCAACTTTGAAAAGTTCTTGACAGACAGTTGCAACCTGACGGACAGATCCCTTCGGAACTGGGCCTAATGTCAAACCTGGAGTTCTTTTGGGCGTGGAGCAACCCATTGACAGGTACTCTGCCCACAGAGCTTGGCCTCATGACGTCTATGCAACGGTTTGGGCTGTGGAACTGCACCTTGTCCGGGAGCATCCCCACAGAAATGGGAACCATGGAGTCCATGAATGAGTTGGCTTTTGATGATAACCCAAAGATGGTGGGCACCATTCCTTCCGAGCTTGGGATGCTGTCCAAACTGACAACCCTCCATTTTGGTGGAACCTCACTCACAGGAACAGTCCCTACAGAGATTACACAGTTGCCATTGGGCTCATTGTTTCTACACAATTCAGGCCTTTCTGGCTCTCTTCCATCGGAGTTGGGCTTGCTCTCTGGTTTGTGGAGACTTTGGCTTTTCAATAGTAGCTTCACCGGGACACTTGCTACAGAGTTTGGATCTTGGCAATCATTGAAGGCGATGAAAATGCAAGAGAACCAGTTTTCGGGTCCAATCCCAAGCCAGTTTAGACTGTTGGAAGATTTGGTTGAGTGCATCTTGCATGACAATTCCTTCACGGGGACACTTGCTACAGAGTTTGGATCTTGGCAATCATTGGAGTACATGAGATTGCAAAACAACCAGTTTTCGGGTTCCATCCCAGGTGAGATCGGAACCTTTGAGAACCTGACTGAGTTGCTGTTGCATGACAATTTCTTTACGGGCACAGTGCCCAAAGAGTTGGGGTTGCTGCAAAAGTTGACCACTTTGTCCGTCAGCAACAATAGCCTTACCGGCAGCATTGACCCTGCTTTGTGTGAGTTGGGCTCCTGGCTGACAGAAGGGGCGACAGGAATCCAGGTTGATTGTGACTTGGTGGACTGCAGTTGTGATGCTTGTGTTTGTGATTGATTTGCTTAGTTCTTTCCGGGTGGTGGCAGAGAAGGGACTCTGTCCAAATTTACGTGGCATTTGTGTGGCAGAGAAGTGACTCGACTCTGACTGAGCAAATTACATATATTATATACTTCACATGGATGAATGTATATGATGCATGCAGCCTTACAGGCTCCATTGACACTGCTCTGTGTGATCTGAGCTCCTGGCTGACGGAAGGGACAACATGAATCCAGGGTGATTGTGATGGTGGACGGTGGACTGCAGTTGTGATACTTGTGTTTGTGATTGATTCTCCGGGTTCTTTCCAGGTGGCAGAGAAGAAGTGACTCTGACCAAGTTTACATGGCATTTGTGTGGCAGAGAAAGGACTCAACTCTGACCTAATTTACATATATATTAGTTACTTCACGTGGATGAATGTATGGGATGCATTGACAATGGAGTTGCTGTTTCTTGGCCCTACAGAGGACTTTTAAAAGGGGATTCGAGTTATCGATGATGACAGGACCGCCGCGAAGTCGTAGTGGTGATTTTCCTCTCTTTGAACCCGTAGCATGTAGTGTGACAGGCTCCGCAAGATGTTGGGATCTGGTGAGTGAAAGCAATTGCGATTCAAAGTTAGTACCTTGATCAATGAGGGGGTCTCTAGAGGTCAGAGTAGGCACTTTTTCTACGATACCGGCACCTTCACGGAAGCCTTTCTGCTTTTGTAATAGAATTCTATTTTAAGGCTACTCTGAGTACAACCGTGCACCGTGCCGCTACCCTAAACCGATAACCCCCACAAACATTGGACCTGCACCGAAACGATCTGTTTGTGCGTTCCTCCGCGTTCAAGACGCCAGAAACTAATGTGCCTGTTTTTTTTGGAACTGCGAGGCAGACTCCTGCTCTTGTGAAACCACATGGGAGATAGCGGTAGCTCTACACGCCCAGCATCCAAACCAGAATCAAAAAAATATGAACTATTGTATACAATGTGCAAAGGGTACCGTATCATCGTGCAACCAAAATGAGCAAATACAAACACCAAAAAGAGCATGCATCCATCAATCAAAACCAACAACCCCTCAATTTGTCGCATCTTCGTGGGTAGTAGCATGTGCTTCACTCTCGCTTTCGCTCTCGTCTTCATCATCAAAATCGTCATTCTTTTTCAGCTTTTCTTGCCGCTCCTTCTTCTCTTTCTTCTTTCTCTCCTCCTCTTCAATGATGGCATCTTCCACTTCAGTGCTGAGTGGTGGTAGATGCACCAGTCCCAAGAGCGCGTTCAACATATTGATAGCAACCAGACTCAGATCGTCAAATGATTCTTGGAGCGGCAAGAAGGTAATGATCAGTGCGGCCCCAAATCCCCATGCCAATGCCACTAATACCCAAAATGCAAAGTACGCTTTGGAAAAGACTCCCGCCGGGATGGACAGGAGAGGCCAAACCACCACGAGAAGAAAGGTCACCATGTATCCGCGTCGTTTAATCCACCGCTCGGCCTTGCGAATGACGACCGGGTCCAGTTCGTCTTCGGTCAATCCACGTTGATCGTCTTCCACCAAGTGAATGTTCCGGTCCAACTCGTCAAAATCGTAGTCTTGCGGATCAATGTATTTGGAATAGACGTAATGGATAAACCCCGACGATCCAATGGCGACCAAGTTTCCACTGAGCATGACTTCGTTGGTCCCCAACGTTTCCACCGTAATGTCCCCACTTTGAATCTTGGCGGCGGCGAGCCAGGAGATAATGGCCAAAAAGAGCCCCGCCCATGCGGCAATGACGGCCCCGGTGCCCGATGCATCTTTCCACGTCATTAAATTCCAAAGGGGCACCACGGCGGATCCAATCAAGACACCCATGAAGAGATAGACCCATCCCAGGTTGAGTCCAATTTCGTGCAAGACAATGGAAAAGACGCCCATAAAGAGTCCAAATGCCACCACGACGTAGCGGGAAATCCTCAAAATATCATCGCCCGTGGCATCGTGATTAATGTATTCCCAGTACACATCATAGGCAATGAGCGACGACACGGCAATGGATTCGGCCGATCCCGTCGAGACAATGGCCATGAACAACATGACCAAAATGAGCACGGATCCGGCTGTCCCCAGCAATTCCGTCGCCACGGCGGGAGGGACCAATCCACTACTGGCTTCTTCGGCCGTGATTGGCAACATGAGTGCCGTGGATGCCAATCCCAAGGATGTGGCGAGCGAAAAGGGAATGGCAAACCAACAAATGCCTCCCAAAAAGTATCCCTTGGCGGCAGAGTAGGGTCGTGCGGCAATGGCCGATTGCCAATACGACTGATCGACAAAGACAGTTCCAAAGTTTCCGACAATGTTGATGATTCCAAACATGAGTCCTTTGGAACTGAGCATGGTCAAGTAGGAGCCTTCCTTGTTGCCTTGGACGGGGCCACAGGCATATGTGCCTTCGACAAAGAAGGTTTCTCCGTATTCATTGCTGAAAATGTCTTGACATTGTGTTTGGTTAAAAGATACCGTCTGATTGAGAAAATGATAAATCGTGTCACTGGAATAGACCTTGACATAGACCACAAAGAGCATACAGATCAGGACAGCAAAAATGACCACAGTATGAATATAACTCGCCAAGAAGGTAGCTTGCAATCCCCCCGATGCCGTGTAGAGAATGACACCCCAGGGGATGAGGAAGGATGCCAATCGATAATCCAATCCCGTCAAGGCTTCGACGGTAGCAGCTCCTCCCAATAGCAACATGGACGTGACAATGATATTGGCCATGAAACAAAAGAATAGAAATGTCTGATGGGCAGGTTTTCCCCACCTGGCATTGACAATTTCCGCCACGGTATGAGCCGATGGTGCCACCTTTTTGAGATTGACGGCCAGTACTCCAAACAGTAGAACTTGAATGGTGGCTCCCGATGCGTACCAAAAGGGTCCCGAGACTCCGTACGCCCATGCGACATTGGACGATTGGAGCAACGTTGCCGCCCACGTCCATTGACTGATAATGACACTGGCCGTCAACCCCGTCTTGACCATGCGACCGGCCGTATTAAAGTACTCGCTGGTCATGATGAGATCCGCGCCCTGGTTGGGACCAAAGTACTGAGTGATGTAGACAAAACTGGTCGTCACCACGCTAAACAGCAGTCCAAAGCCCAAGACCACGGCGTATCCCACTTCCACACCCAAGGGAGGTTCGCCTCCGAAAAAGGATTCTTGGTATTGGTACTTGGTAAAGGGAGGGATCAGGTCATCATGATAGGATGTTTCTGTGGACATGGTGGAAGGATGGATGGAAAACAAACAACACGTCTTTTAAAAACAAGAGGATAGAAGAGTTGTGAGGTTGATTTTTGTGGAAGGGTATTTTTGTTTGGTTTCTGCGAAAACTGTGAGCAAAAAGTACAGTAAAAGTGGCCACCATGCACCTGTACCAAGAACCAAGAACCAGTGGAGAAAGCTGCAGCCACCACATGAGGAAAGCGAAGGGGCATACCGTTTCTTCCTCGCTGTCCTTCGGAGTTTAGGGGCGATTTTACAGATGAGTTTGTCATGCACACCTGATACCGAAATGCCTTTAATGACCGTCACCTTCTTTGTTCGATTTCTGTCGCACAAAGCATCACGAGCGAGTAATGACCGTTGTTGAACCGTGCACTCTCGTATCACAATGACAGTCTTGTCCAATACATTACGGTGGGTGATTTCCACCTGCGATGGCTTTCAAAATGTTGAAAATGTAGGTACAACATAATATCTGAAGAGGGGAGGACCAGTGACTGGCTGAACCAAGGTTGTTTGGACTGGCTGAATCATAATATCGCTCTGCCATGGGACTCGACTCCTCAATTCTGGGAGCCCTATCTATCTTTGGTCGCTCCAAGAGTTGAGCATCACTTTTGGTGATTCTCAGTGGCATCACGAGCTCGTCATGGAACTCCAGTCTCTCCCTGTCGCAAAGGCTACCCTACCGTACGGTACTTCACCCTCCTTCAACAAAGACTTCGGAGGCTTTGCCACTCAGCAGTCTGGATTCAGTGGAACCATTTTAAAACAGTGGTAAAATGTGCATTGACACTAGCTTCAAAACCGGTCACAAGTAACTGTTTCCTAGCATTCCGAACACTACCTGAATACTTATTGCATAGCTTTGATTGTTCATTATAAGCCTGTCATTGGGAATTAGTGGTTCACTCTTGCTGCAGCTACGCTTTAATTCAATTTCATGGCCGATGAGCTGTTGATGAGAACATCAAGCGGCAAAAAAGGCAACATTTCTTTTTTGCTACTGCCGAAAGACATTCCACGCATCTCAATGATCTATCAATGCGGGGATGAGAAGATGAAAACACCGATATAATTGTTAGCATTATGGATGATTGCCAGCTGGCCAGCACTACTTATTACTTATACTGTGCTTTTTACTGTACTTCTGAAATTAATGTCTCAAGACTACCGGTAGTTTGTTCAACAGAAAGACAACAGGCTCCTAAACATAAAGATTACAATGAGCTTTATAAATACAATGTTATTAGTCTACGAGCTAGTCTACGTTAATTTCAGAAAAGGACAGAGAAAGAACCTGGAAACTTTAGCTGTTCTTTCAATGGCGTCGCTCCAATGACTGCAATCACCCAAGTCCCTCGGACATTTAGGTGGCCTTTTTGTAGAGCAGACATCAAAACAGGTGGGAAATTATGAGAAGCGGCACTCCAATGTAGAGAAGCGGCACTCCAGTGCACGAGAGAAGAGAGAAGTGGTACAACATTTTCTTGAAAGTCGAATGGAAGTGTACCTGTAGTGCTGTGACTCTGAAGGAAGATGGGAGATGGGGGGCTACTCGTTTCGTTGTCACAACGGGCTGTCTTAATTGTTGCTTCTTGTTCTCTTGTGGTAACAGCAGGTGGGTACCGTATGTAGGATGCAGCCGGTGCAGGCGGACTGATGATGAAGCAATGATGGCCAGCCGCAGGAATTCTGAAGCCCTTTGAGGAGGCAATGCAAGAACGCACGGGAGCTCCTCGTTGGATGCATTGACCACTGGGACGTTTCCTGAACATTCTTCCGTCATCTCTGCCCTCACTCCTTCCAAGATAATCACCTCATTCAATTTCCAGCACCGCAAAAGCACAGGATCCAGAAAGAAGCGTGAAATGAGTTAAAGAGACCTACTGCAGGCAGGTGAACGAAGATACAGTAGCCTAGCATTTAGATTCATGCAACAACTCCAGTAGAACTATTCAATTCGAGCTCTGATTGCTGTACAACTTACACTACCCATCACACTCCTATGTACTATAGCTAGTAGCCAGCTGGTCCTGACTACATACATGATTGTAGCTAGTAGTAAGAGAAGTCTGCAACCTCTCTTGCGAGCATCTTGCGCACGCAAGACCAAATCCTTCTTTGGTCATCCCTGGTCCTACTTCTTCCTCCCAACCCCACATTCCTTTCTGTCCAAAACATTGAAAAAGGCAGGCGAAGCAAAGCCTGGAAACGAGTTCGACTTGAGCCGTGATCGGTACCCTGCAGAACAATGATCTAGCCAGTTACCAGTAGCCCAGCGAACAAGATCCGTCAAGACCTTGGCATCAGCAGAGGTATACACATGTTTTCAACGCACGCGGTACAGATTATGTAAGGCAGAGCTTACATGATTAGGCATCAAGCAAACTAGTAGACAGGTACAAATTCCCCAGACGTTCAGTGTAGCCACCTAACATTCTACAGTTCCACGCGGTTCCTCTTCGGGGGCGTTGATCTGCTTGACACCATACTTGCGGTGACATTCTTCAATCATTTGTGCCACTACTTCTTTCCCACGAGTTTCCCATTCCTCTCTGTTTTTCAGAGCATAGTTGAGGTACTCATCAGAAGAGACACCAAAAACACCACACTCCTTGAGCTTTCGTGTCAAAGGGATGATGTAGAAATCAAAGAAACCAAACTCGCCCTTGTACCAAAATTCAGAAGGATCTTTCTCCATTCGTCCATTCAGATAAGCAACGTAAAGTTCTTCAAAGAGGTTCTGATTCCACTTTCGATAGACATGCCAATGTTGCATGGTGTGACTATAGCAGAAGGAAGGTTGGAACAGAGTGAGAAAGAGCTGCAATGGCCATTATGCCACACAAAGCGAGGTCTATCCTACCTAATGTCGCTGGCTTGGATTATGTGCTCAATCTGCGTCAAGAAACGGGTTACGTTGTTAGCATTGGAGAAGCATCCAGGCCAAAGAGACAACAACTAGGTTCCAGACTTACCACAATAGTTGCTTTCCTGTTGATCGCATCACGGGGATTCTCATCCTCGGTGAGGCATCTATCACTGCCGCTGCTGTGATCTTCAGGGGCCCCGTCGCCCTTTTTGAATGCCTTGTCCCAACGAGCATTCCGAAGTGCCTTCAAGTCCTTATCGACAATGTCAGTTGACATGACCGACTGCAGATCCAACCAGAGCAGGCGAAACGACGAGGAACTGATGAGTAACGAAATCGGGTCCACACAGACGACGGCGCCGTCTTCACTTACATTGACAACTAGTTGCCTAAAACGCACGAGCTCGGTGCGTGTCGGGAACAGAAAGTCTCTCAAAGTATCGAATCGGGATTCCATGAGCAATGCCCAGGAGAGATCCAGAGAGTTCTTGATGCAAAAAGAGATGTCAAGTTAGAAGCACTGGTCGGAGCTGTCGTTGGTGCAGGTACTTGAAGAACTCACCTGTTCTGCCACACTTCGCTGGTTGTATTTGGCGGCAATGGGGACTCCTTCCTTGACTAGTTGGGCGTTGGAAACACCAACATGATCTGTTCAAAGGATGAAACAGAGTTTCGTAAGTGAGTAAGCATTTCCTGCTGCAGCCAGGCAATGTCAATGTTTTCATCCTCGTACCAACGTCGTGAATCAATGCCGAAAAGGCACAGGCGAATTGGGTAAGCGGATCGCTGAAAATTGGAGGGAAGGGAATGGGATAAACTTTAGAGAACATCAAGGCAAACACGAAAACCAAGGCAGTGCGTATATTGATCCTACCTTGTGATACCATATGTATGGCTGGGAAGTCCGGTTCAAGATGATGGCAGGTGGTTAGAGATGATCCTGGAGCCAATAAAGCAGCAAGCAAAGGAACACTTACTCGTGAAGTTTGGCAGCACTCTCCAAGTGGTCATTGTCACTAGCGACGATTCTACTCATCAGTTTGATCACACTCATGACAACGTGGGAGGCATGGTCAAAGTCTACGAGAGCGAGAGAATGGGCAAGCACACTTAGCCAAAACAATTTAACATAGGCGCGTGATGTGTGTAGGCAAGGAAAAACTTACTGTGGAAGGGATTGTCATTGTACATCGTGGCAATCTCGCTGACGAGGAGATGGAGCTCCTCTACGACCTTGGGAGGAATCTTGACGCTGGTTGGGTCTTCTTTCGTGGTGTCAGCGTCATGTTTGAATTTGGGGAGGTGGATGATCTCCCGGACTTCTTCCAAGGGCCGGGTATCGACGCCAAGCTCCTCTTCGAGACTGAAATTCTGAGATGCATACCCGCCGCTGCTGGGCTTTTGCAAGTTGCCGGCATTTCGACTTGAAACGATATGCTTTAGGATTTGAAGAAGCATCTCCACATTCCAACCAATCAATCGTTGCGTCTTGTCGTCGAGGCCTGGCAGTTGTCTGCCGTATCGGAAAGGTGTGCTTTCTGCCTCGAAGAGGCTGCCACGAGAAACCGCGCTTCCCGCTCGTTCGCCGGACACGTTTACCCAATACGCTTCGATGATACCCTTTCCCTTGGCAACAACATCATCTCGTTTGGTCAGCCAAGATCCCTTACCCGCGTTGAAGATCAATTCAGCAGTTTCTTTGGAAGTCAGGATCCGTCCACGTGCACTGCTTGACTCCAGTCTGGCACAAGTATTCATTGTGTCACCAAAAAGCTGGAACCTGGCACGTTCTCCCCGAAGGACCCCTACAAGTCGACGAGCGTTAAGTGTTAGTTGGACGAGAGGGTAAAACTGAAGATAGTGTCCTCTTTTGGTGCCACGACGTACCTGCTGTAACTGGTCCCGAATGGATGCCTGTGAATGGCGATGCGAATGGCAAAAGGTGAGAACCTAAATGAACAACCGCAGAATAGAATCAACACCACGTCAAACTAAGATACTGAAGGCTCACCAATCCTCAAATCCAAATCGCCTGGAGGATCAAACAAAACAGTGGTTAGAAATGGATAAACTTCGGCTGCGTTCTACTTTTCGACCCCCTCAAACTTGACCTACCTGTATCTGGACCCAAAGTGACCTCAAGCTGCTTCGTCATGACTGCCATTCTGCCAAGGATGTCTCTGGCAAACCGTGCCATGGCGCAAGCGTGATCTGAGCGAGGTTCAGGGAGACCTGTCACAGCGACGTAGCTGCAATCAACGTGGAAAATGAGCGTCAGAGAGGGACAAGCAAACGAAAGCAGCGTGGTTGCAAGAGGAATGAGGCGCTTACCAATCTCCCACCGTCTCCACCTTGAACACGCGTCGGCGCTGAGCGATGGCGTCAAAGCTCTGATACAAAGTTTCCAACAAGGTGAAGACTTGACTTGGTTCTACAGAGCAGAGCAAAGGGCGGAAACATGCCACGTGAGAATGCGCACCAAGTCGCCAGGAACAAAAATATGCGCGTGCTCTGTTGACTCACCGCGAACAGAACTCCAAGCCGTAAAGCCACTGATGTCAGCAAACATCTGAGGACAACAAGAGGGAGAACAAGTGTGAGAACACTCAAGGAAGGGTGCAACTCTGTCCCATTGTTAGTAGTATACCCGAAGGCAAGACGTACCACGGTAGTCTCCAAGAAGAGATCGGCCAGGGGCTTGCTTTGATGGCGAGCTTTGCACCCATTCTTTCCGTCGTTGAGGAATGCCTTGAGACTGCCACGTTTGCTGTGCATACTCGAGTTCATGGCCTGTTGTGATTCGTCATTGTCCTTCATGAGCCGCTCTCGGATGTTGTCAGGGAAGAGGGAAGAGACAATCGCATTGGATTGCGCTGCCTTGGAGACGAGATTTTCATTGCGGTGTTGGACGGCCAAGTCGTAGACCAAAAAGGTAACGGCCACAGAAACAAAGACTACCGCCAAGATGATAGCAAAGCGCTGGGGGGTTCCCGTGTGGTATGTGTCTTCAAATTTGGAGCTGGGGTAAATGTCCTGGTGGGAGAAGCAGTACAGCACAGTGCAAGAAAGAAGAATGGTGAGAAAGTGTGTTTGTCGCGAAGCGTCCATCGAGGGTTCCAAACGTAAGTATGTATGTATTTACCATTCGATAGAGTGTATTGCGGGGAGTGGTCCTGTATTCCGGGTTGGTGTGAAGGGCCAAGTCGACAAACACGCCCATGTCCGTGTACTGCTCCTCATGCATATCTCCCTCACCAAGATAGATTGCATCGTTTCCAATAATCTCATAGGTAAATGTCTGATTCATATTGTTGCTAATGATGCAATGGATTCCTTGGACACCTTCGGGCAACAAGTTGAGCAGTGCGACATCCAATGCCAGTGCCGCCACAACAATGCCGACAATTTCCGAATCTGCATTCAATGGATCGCGGTGAATCGGGTGAACGGCAAACGTGTGGGGATGCTCGGGAGTCGAATCCAAGAGGTCGCTGTGCTTGGCCGCGTGTTCGGCTTTGGTCATGATGAGATCGACACTGCGGTAGGGTGTAATCATGGTAAAGGTGGTCTCATACTTGAGCGCCACACTGGCATCAATGGCAAACGCCAAGGGCGGGATATGATGAACGTTCCAATTGACAATGCCATAGGTCGCCGGTGGAGGAGAGAACTGTCCCGTGGACGGCCAGTATTCGTCGCGGTCATCGTCTGGGAGGTAGCCTTGGGGAGAGTTTTTGGAGATGAATGGTTTGTAGACACTGGTATCATTGTTCAAGCGGCGAAAGTCTCCGTTCTGCATGAGATGAGCCGATTGAATGATCTGCTGGTAGTTTTTCGTGGTGTAGTTGGTGAACTTGTCCTTGTCCTTGGCGTAGACGCGGGGGTAGATGCAGTAGAACTCTGCCTTGGACTGCACGAGGGCATCCCTGGCATAGACCTCCCAAAGAGGGATGGTAACCGTGGGCCAGGAGAGGTTGTAGGTCGACGCCTGACCAGAAACCAAGTGAGCCAGGCCTCGGATCGAGTCACGAAAGTTCTTTTGCTGGTCAATGGCAGCATCACCCACCGTACGAGAGAACTTGGTGAACTGAGTTGCAAAGCAGAGCAAAGCAAAAGCAGATGAGGTCAGGTCACAGTGATCATCATGCTCAGAGGGGCACTACGAGAGATACCGGTACACTTGACATGACTTACCGCGGTTTCAAAGTTCTTGGACTCTTCGCCAATGAGGACCAAGTAGGTGGTCAACGTGACGCCCAGGGCAGTCAATAGCAACGCCAAAGTCATGGCAACTCGCCACAACTGGACACGCCGCGTGTCCTTGGCAGACATTTTGTATACCTCCTTCTTCTCATCGCGGGCTGGCGGGGGATTGAACGTGGTGGTGGATGAGAACTCATTGTCAAAGTCCGAAAAGACAACAGAGTCGCCATCCTCCAATATCTCGTCCTCCAGATTCTGAGAAAGATCGTTGGTTGCGTCCTCCAAAGATCCCATCGTGTTGGTTCAGTTGCTGAAGTTGGTTAGTTAGTTACTTGGAGAGGGGATGATGTGGGAAGATAGTCTGAGCAGCTGCCGCACGAATTGCACGAATAAGATGTCTGTTCTGTCTGTTCTTGGGATTGGCAACAGAAGGACTTGGGTCAGAGTTTGGAGAATTGGTGCTACCGGTATGAGCTAGCTAGTAACGATGAGGGTCTCCAAAGTCTTGGGTGTGTGCAATATTATGGCTTGTGCTCTCTGATACCGTAGCCAGCCAGTGTTGTGTTGGAACTTAACTTACTTGTAGCTTCCTGTCTTTTACTAGCTTGTACCGCTGGAGTTTGCTTGCTCCCAAAAACAGAATTGTGAGCCTGGAGGGAGGCGGCAAATCTGATACGCTACTGTAGCAAGAAATGACTTAGAAATGAATAGACTATTAGTCTAATGGTGAGAGACCCTCAAACGCACGCGATGTAATACATGTAATACGTACAATGCGTATTCTACGTATTCCCGTATAATACGTATAACACGTATTACACGGTCGCCAGCCAGCCACCGTGACCGTTCGAGTGACCGTTCGCAAAATGGCTTCAACACCAATCTCCACCAATCTCCACAACACACACCATGAGATAAACCTCTCTCCTCTTGTTGCTTGAAGGATACAGAGGTTTCTGTTGTTATTTGAAGATAGTACCATCATTGTGGGTAAGTAGCCAACTGAAGACCAAAACTGTTGTGAAGATAGAAGGATTTCTCTCCATTCAACTCCTTCTTCATTCTCCTGCCCCCACTCTCTTTATCAGGCTTTGTCAGCTCACAGGACCATTCTCTTTGATTCATATACTTCTGAAGCTCACTGACAAGCCTGTGGAAGATCTGGCCTTGAATTTCTACATTGTCAACCACTTTCCATTGTCAACAACTTTCTGTAGGGACCAGTACTGAACCCATGTAAGTACCTCAGTCAGCGCGCAACACGTGTTATGTCGTGTTACGCGTGTAACACGTTGTTATGGTGTAACACGTGTTTATGCATGTAATGTTATATGTATCACCCGTGTTATACGTGTAACAGTGTAACATGTATTATATCACGTGTATCATCACCTGTATTATATGTATTACCTGTATTATACGTATTACCCGTGTTCGTTGTCTCACCTATTTTTGTTTTCTTGTTTAGTATTTTCGTTTAGGCATCATGGTGGATTCTGACGATGAATCTGGTCCGCAAGACGATCACGGGGCAAACGAGAATGATGCAGAAGAGACGAAGGCTGAGGAATCTGAGGAGGAGATTCCCTTTGGCCCTGACAATCCTGGTCCTTTTTTCAATGTTCTGAGGTGTGGCTCCCTATGTGATTGTCTGATTCGAAGAAGGCCGAGTCATATGAGGCAAATAGGACAACGAACGATTTTGTTGGGTCGATTGCAATCGGGCAAGTAGCTGTTTGCAGCTGTCGCCCCTGATGCGGTACTTGAGATTGGTACCGTCTGGCTTCCACCAAAGACAAGACAACTCCTTGATGCAAACTCTTCCTTAGAGATTCGATTTGTTTCGAAGTTAGAGATGAGCCTGTCCGTTCATAAAGTAAAGTCTTAACAACACTTGGCGAGAGGTGGTTCTTTAGGCATTGTTCCGCTAGTGTAACGGCTTCTGGCCAAGATGAGTACTTAACACTTTCACTTGTGCTCTTCTAGTTGTACATGCCACGATGAAGCTTGTTGCCTGTCTGGAACTTGGTTAGATACATCGTCTGTGTTCCTGGCTATATAGACATTGAAAGAGAATGGACATTTGACACCCTCCCCCTCAAACAGGAAGCTGAGTCTGGGTGTTTTTGTTGCTGTCCTTTTGGGCTCTTTGTTTGTAAAAACGACTCCTTGACAACATATGGTAATGTGATTCCGCCTCTTATCAATTCCCTTGTTTTTGATGCGGAATCAAGCAGTCTTGCAAGGAAGTACAAAGTATGGCATCAAAACTTCTTTAATATGCGCCGGATCACAAGATTGATACATCGAAGGTAGCCAATACACCGTCGATT